TTTGGAAGCTATTAGTTTTAATAAATTATAATTAATAGTTTTTTATTTTGTCATGTTTTTTGTGTTTTTTACTTTTTCATGGAATATCTTTGTATCACAACATTTCTTTCATGTAGGCAGGGATGGATATATTACTATTACTGTTATTACTTATAAAGTCAATGTAATATAGCTTAAGGGCCTGGGCTTTGTAATCAGTCAGACCTGGGTTCTAATTCCAGCTCCATCAACAACAAGTGGGGCTGTATTGGGAGCCTTACTCAACCACACCTAACCTTAGTTTACTCATTTATAAAATGGGGAATAATATTAGGTCTTTATTAATCCTGTTGTGATAACTACTTAATATAATGCATGTACTGTGAAGAGCAAGTACATCCAAAACATAAAATTGTGGCTATTATTTCAGATAGAAAGGTAAGTAACTTGAAGCTCAGATATGACTTGCCCAAGGTTACATAGTTAAATAAACGTGCAGGTCTTCTGAATCCCAGTCTAGTGCCTATTCTACCATTATTATTGTATTTACTCTCTCTGAACTGTTTTATAAGACATTAAAAATTCCCTATTGGAGGATTATTTTACCCAGTTATTTATTGAATAACATGTTGCCTGCTCTCTGAAATTGTGGTACTTCATTAACCAGAGTTGTTGCTTAGGAAAGTATTTAACAGTATTAACTTTATTATACTTCTGATAAAGAACTATTTTGGAAAATGCAAGTTAATAATTGTCATTTTTTCAAGTGCAAATATTTGGAGAAAATAGTAGGATTGTGTTTGGTTATAGTTAAGTCAAATGGCTTTTTTGATTTTTTTTTTTTAATACTGCATATTAAAGCTCAAATGCCTGTATTTGTCTGTTAGGCTTCAGATTCTAAGGGTGCTTTGGGTTACTTCAATAACTTGTTTGCATAACTTCTTAACAAACCTATGTCAATGGAAAAGTTAGTAACAAAGCAAACTTCTTAAAACCTAATTATTTCTTAATTTATAATCATAAAACAAAATCCTTGTGTTTCTACTATAAAATAATATGTATTTTCAGAGAGAGTTTAGAAGAGAGAGAATACCACCTCCATCAGGACCATATTGTATATGCAGATACATATTTTTCTTTTTTCACTTGAATATTCTACTTGGAACATGTCATTTCTATAAAAGCATGATGTTAATGATCCCGTGATAGTTTATCAATTTATTTTACCATTCGTGCATTGTTGGACATATAGGTTATAA